AGACAGAGAGAGAGAGAGAGACAGAGAGAGAGAGAGAGAGCGAGAGAGAGAGAGACAGAGACAGAGAGAGAGACAGAGAGAGAGAATTGAATTTTGAATTTTAACAATCCTTTATTACAAATATAATTCACCACACAATTAAATTACAATATTCATTTATAAAGAAAACAAACCCAACTCACAAATGTGTAAAAGCCAAATCGCCTTCGAAAACAGAACACAAAGCCTCATTGTAACACCAACTTTCCACAAAAGAAAGAAGAAAGAAAGAAAGAAAATCACATTATAAATAGCTGTCATAAATTACAGTAATTGATCAGCAAATATAAATGTATATACATTCTATTTGAAAAGGTTCAATCAAAAGCACTTCAGGTTTATTTGCTCTAGCTAAGAGTTTCAGTTTCGTAGTAAAATAGGGGAGGCGCTATGAAGTAATGCTTTACGGTGAAGAAGGACAATAGTTCTGATTGGACAGAGTCCATGTACCATCGGGAAGACAGCCACTCCTCTACTACCGCGAAACGACGCGAAAATCTTAATAACCACGTGAATATATAAGAGAACAAGTTCTTTCCAGGCTTTTCAGTTATCCGCTTCCACGGGGAGTGTTTTTTTTGCTCATCATACGATGCAGTTTGGATATTTCCGCCGGGTGGTGCATTTCACGGATTTCCCGCAGAATTAATTTTCTGTAATATCTTGGTGAATTTATTTGAAAGACTTCACAAGGCGAAACGGTATGTTTATGCGTTTGCCAAGTTGGTGCAACATCTGAGTATGCTTGTTCGAGGTGGACTTTGTTTAGGGTCAATGGAATTGAAGAAAAGAGATTATAATGTAGTTCAGGGTGAGGGGTGTGTGATTGCATGGATCCTTTCCTTTCAGCTAACGCAGCCCAAATATAAGAATTCATTCAATTTAAGTTCGCATATCAACTGGCTGTCAAGAGTAAGTCACTTAAATAAGTAACCACCGTTTAAGGCCTATTTTAAAGGAAAGACGTACAGATGAGCCAGTTTAAGTGGGAGGAAACAGTTTTGTTTAGCTTGGCACCCTTGTTTATTTTGTGCCTGTTTCTCAAAATGATACAGTTGATTATTGGAGATGGTCGTTTTTATAACCTTTATTTTTAAAATTTGGTGAACAGAAAATGTTCATATATTTTTATCATCAGAACTAGACGTGTATGGATTGTATATATACTGTATATATATATAGAGAGAGAGAGAGATAAAATGTTCCTGGTCTTTTTCCACTACTGTTAAGTTGTCTGCTCTGTTGTTTTCTCAGGGAATTGCACAGGAAGGTGTTCAAGGTTTCCCAGAAACTTAAGGTATTTTTCTGCTGTCTTAATCTTTGACTGGGTATAAGTGCTTACTTGTCGGTTCCACTGTGCTTTTAGAGTTGTTTGAATGATCGTGTGGGCCTAGTCGCACTTGTTTATATCCTAAGTTGTTATTATGTAACGGGAAATGTTGTTTTGCTCAGTCGATCAAAAATATGACTTTTTTTTTCCCAATTTAGGGAAAAAAAAAATTCGGCCTTTATGAATCAGCGTAATTATAGAGATTACATCTACAGGCAAAGCTAGGCCTATGTGTTAATTTAATAACACAGGGCATGACGAAGGTTGTTAAAATGTCACAAAGTCAAACTTCCTGTTTAGTACGAGTGCTTCTGTCCATTGTGCCAGAACGAACACACACACACACGCGCGCGCGCGAGGGAATCAGGTCTGAAAATAGCACCATGTTGTGCGGATTACATGGGTTCCTGTCGCATAGACTTAGCATAAAGTTACTACATTTCTGTGTTTAATTTGTATTTACGTGTTTGTATGTTTGTAACTTTCGTCTTGCTGGATTCGCCAGTTTAGTAGAATATCTGCTGGTTTACGTCGCAATAATAGCTTACATTTTTATAGTTGTTTTTAATTATTATTTTTAATCATGCATATTATAATTTGTATTATGTGCAATATTTATGTTGGATTCTGACTGTCTTGTTTACCTTCTCTTATTATATCAGAACGTGTATCTCAGAAATGTTCCAGTTTATGGAAAAATATCTAATAGGCCTATATAGACTTTGTGACATGCTTTGTGTAGGCCTATAAGTTTCTCTGAATACATTACTTTATTCAGTACAATACTCTCAAAAAGAGTATCACAGTGAATAAATTTTTTTTTTTTAATATGTTAAAACACATGCAGAAGTGCTTGAATAGCAGTTAGAGGTCACTGCATAGTTAGCTACATAGAGCACAACCACGTGATCAGCTTTACATTCCTCCTGTTTGGCCACCCTCTAGTTTTTTTTTGCAAATGTGTTTCTACACAGACATATGTTTTTTTTAAAGAAAGCTTTTTCACAAGGATGTAACTACACTGTAAAAACCTGCAATCGTTAGCTTAAAGAGCTGTTTCTACCTGATAGATATCTACCCATAAAAAATGAGCATTGTTGGTATAAATTAATGTGTATACTATATAGGCTGGTTCAGTGATGGTAAATATTTTTTAATAAATAAAACATAGACTATTTGTTTCAGTGCACATATGATTGGTGGAGACAAAATGGCAAATTTAAAAATACAAAAAAAAAAACATTAATTGACAGCTTTGATCAACTGAATATTGTGGTGGTCATTTCTGCTTCAGTTTGTGTCAGTCTAGTGCAAAACCCAAATAGACAGGCAGGCAAAAGGATTTTGTAAGTAATTATATGTAAATGAAAATCATTCTGAGAATATCCACATGAAACTTGACAAGTTCTAGATTAAAGCATTCCATCAGTGTGAGCGGGAAATATTAGATTAACTTTATTTCATAAGGATTGTTTTGCTTATGAAGAACACATCATGTAAGCATTCGATTGTATTAATAGAGGTACCACCATCTAAAGTGGGATATGGTGCAAATACCATAATCAAAATCCACTATGTAGCAAAGCACTTTTAGTTTTCCACTTTGTTGCAGTTAAGTGGCTGTTTTTAAATTAATTATAAATTTGTTACTTTCACTATGTACATTATACAAGCATATTATTATAATATACACAAAGAGTGCATATTGATATCTTCCTCTGTGGTTTGTGGCAAAGGATTGTGATTTCCCACAAAACCGTCAATGTTTTAAGAATAAAATCTTAAATATAAAACAAATCAAAGCTAAAATTGAAATCAAAATTCAAAAAAGTAATGTCAGTATTCATTTAATCACCAAGGAGCCACTCAGCTTTTCAAGTGATAATATTTAAATAATAATTCAATGATAATTAACTATTACCCTAAATAAACGGTATAAATGTTCCGTTTAGTTTGTTTTTTGTTTGACTTCAAACATTATCAAATTTATGTAGTTGATAATTATATATTCTCAACTGTTTAAACAAGTTTATTTTTCAGTGTAAGTACTTGAAGAAAATAATTACTCTGAAATCATTATGTAAATATTCCAACGGACCTATAACACATCAGATAGCAAACTAAATCAATACACTGAAAAAAGGGTAACCTAAAAATGGTAACATCTGTATTAACTGGTTTTATTCAAGACAGAAATATTATTTACCATCACTGAATCAACCTAAATACTTTTACACCAACAAAACTAAATGTTATCGGTTAAATTAAGCAGAAATAGCTGATAACAATTGCAGGTCATCAGTTTTTGTAATGATTACAATCTTTGTAGTCACTGGGAATCATTTATACAACCCCAACTGTGTTGCTAAGCATTACAAAACGATTTGCAAAACTAGTGCTTGTATTTGAGGTTATATCAGCTGTTGATCTATAGAAGTTATATATTTGTTGTTCATATAGTCATTTGTCTAAATGTTCACGTTACATAAAATATTGTACATTTGAAAAGGCAACGTTTTCTGTACTAAAGGGTTTGTGTTTTGATAGTGGAGTCATATTGAATATTTTCTTAAGATTAAAATATAGAGACACAAGACTTTTTATTAGTAGATTTAGGAGTGCTTACAAATAGTAATTTAATCAAAATCAAAGACAACCTTTTAACAGCTTTGAGAGTGATTGTCAGCAACATTTGACAGAATCAGTCCATTTTAAATGTAATAAGTATAAATGTAAATACATCTAATACATTAAATAACATTAAATAATAAAGATAATACAATTATAGAATTTATGTAATTTACAACATCACAGGTCTAGTGATCATTAAAGCTTAGTAAAGAAGCATGTATTTTAGGGTAGTCTTTGTATTTTTGTGAAGCTGTTTATGATTGTTTTAAACATTATTTATTATAGGTCTCAATTTCCTGGTTCTTTAATTCTCTTTAAATAAGATTTAAATGATGTTATTCAACAGATCTGTTTATTTGTGCATCAAATTGTCTTTCTTTTTGAAAAAAAAAAAAAACTGACCAATCCTTTCTATACTTTTTGAGGAAAATAGACAACCTAAATGTAAAATAAAAAATTAAAATCATGTAATTCATTTCATAAAAAATGAAAGCTCTTCAAAGTTCCTGAAAGAAAAAATTGGTTGTTTCTGAGGGAAGTTGTTTTTTGTATGCATTTGTGTTCAAGTGCTTTTTCGGAATTACTTTTTATTAAAACTGCATAGAGAAATACGGTAGTACGGAGACAGTGCTACTACAGACAGTGGAAGTGGGCCAAGCCAACCGGCGTGTGTGTGCGTGTGTGCGTGTGTGTGTGTGTGTGTGTGTGTG